TGTAATTAAGAATACAAAAATATAAAACTGTATGTGTGATTTTTTTTGTGTGCTTGCATTTTCTTTTTGAGAATACGAATTTCAGCAGTGAGCAAACTGTCAATAATACGTCACTGCTCACAGACATTAACAATCGAGCCTGCGCAGAGTTGATCATGGCAGAGGACAACAACATTAACAATTTGGCTCAAAATCAGGTAAATAACTATATTTGATCATTTTGGTCGTAAATAAATGTGTACAAAATATTAATTCCATAAATTCTCTATTCTCTAGAAACATTTTTTTAGGCAGTGTTTAGTTAACACTAGCTTCAATGCTAGTTTTACAGCTTACCATGTTATTTTAATTTTAAAACCAACATTTTTACATTCTTAGCATTTACATTTTATGCCTTTTCCCCGAATCAATGTGGTTAATGTGTTGATACCAGCCCCAATCCTCCAGATTATTCATAGTTCGCGCTGTTACTGCCCCAGAGCAATATGAAGAACACCTCCGTGCTGTACTCATCCTTGGTTGTTAGAGAACATGCAAACTCCAAACAAAAAGGTCCTGGAGGTGGAATCGAACCATGACCCTTTTGCTGTGAAACATATTTGTGGTTTTTGTTCAAAAGATTCCAAGTTACCAAACAATTCTACAAATGTTGAAATATCGATATAGATAGAAAAACAATATAATGCAATTAATTTTAAATGGTAAAATTTTCCAAATTAGTTTTCTTTTGGGGCATAGTCATGATCTATATTTGTATAAGATACAATACACAATATGCGACAGGGGCGACAGTAGCTCAGATGGTAGAGCATTGGCCTTGAGGCCAGAAGGTCGTGGGTTCAATTCCCACCTCTGCACCTTCTCCACCGACTCTCACTGATGACTGCTGCCGTTGTGTCCTTGGGCAAGACACTTAACCCTACTTTGCCCAAAGCCCCCACTGAAAGATCAAGGCTATGCTCACACTCAGAGAGCAGCCGTCCTCCTGTGGACTCACCACCTGCAGAGGGTCAGTGAGGGGCTGGTGCTATGAGACTTGGGTGGCATCTCTGACTGCCACCCCCCTGACCCAGAAATGGATTAAAGGGTAGAAAATGGATGGATGGATGGACAATACACAATAGTTTAATTATCCAAAGAAAGTTGTATTATGTCACTTATTTGGAGGAGCTCATCAATCCCTAATATCATATTTTTTTTCTGAAACTCTCTTGCATTATATGTAGGTCTTGTGTTTACTCAATTTAACTGCACGGTTGTAGCCAGAACAATTTTCAAAAACATGAGTTCCTGCAGGCTCGCTAAACTAAAGCAATAAATGCGTATCAAAGTGATGGTGTGAGTCAATGTTGTGGAGAATGTGGCATCATGAAAGGCAAACTAACAATAAAGAAACGTTTCTGTAACAATTTTATCCTTCTTTATTATTATTATGTTCAAGATGGAGATTTTATACTTGTTCTTTGATGCTAGAGTTAGAGATTTTGTTTTATTTTAATTAGTATAGCTATTGTTCACTTGTCTTGTGCTCCTCATTCCTACTGTTCTATAACTTATGAATCAACACTGACATTTCCCCACTGTGGGACGAATAAAAGGATGTCTTCATCTTAATACTTCAGATGTATTTATTGAGAACATTTATTTGGAGGCACTTGGTCTGATATGATCTGAGAAGCAGAGGTGAATAGGGAGAAAAGAAAGAGGATGGGGAGCTTTGGAGAAACCGACAAACGCTGATCAAAGAGCGGCCTATGTTCTACTGAGCCCTGAATAAAAGGCTCGCCGCCGCAGCAGCTTCCAGGTTCACTCATTATTCTCAGATTTTTAATTGGAGATAGAGGCTCCACGGAACGCACAGTTTAAATCAGCTTACCTGCAGCACCCAGACCTTTCTGTCATTGCCTATTGTGTAAACTACTGGCAGTAAATAAAAGAGCCAGTTGAACAGGAGTCGTCTGTAGTTTTAGAGACTCTACAAATCAGTTTTACACCTTGGCAGCGAGAGCCATGCAGGCAGATAGCACTTCCAATTACAAGATATCCTGTGCCCAGAGATAGCAAGACGCCGATCTGAATTGGCAAACACATAGACGTTTCTGTTTTTCACTGGTATAGTTATATATCCTTTTTTTTTTTGGTTGAAAAAAAAATTAAGTAAGTTATCTTTATCTATATAGCGTTTTTCACAAACCAAGGTCACAAAAGCTTTACAATTTGTTGTAACGGTAATTCACATTCGCTCCATGATTGAAGTGAGATGCCAAACACTCTGGCTCATCAAAGCCTCCGACCATCAATGCACATTCAAACCTATTGTACATGTCTTAGTGGTAGGGGAAACCGGAGCACCCAGAGGAAACCGGAGCACCCAGAGGAAACCTACGAAGACGCAGGAATAACATACAAACTCCACACCATGCCACCAAAATGACATTTAAATATTTAAAAAGGTATCAGCACCAGCCACCTTTCAAAATTCAAAATAATAATAATAGTTACTTAACATAATGCTTTGCAAGCTAAATTCAACAAACCAAAGCTTATAATGATCTGTACCTTTTTTGTGATGTAAAGTAAATTGCAGAATGCTCTCGTATTCCATGCTCAAAGTGCCAGCAGATGGCGATCATTATAATCGTGTTAGTGCATTGGTGACACTAAAACTAGTTGTTTACCTTGTTCCCGTGGTTCTTGATGTTTCAAACTCATCGTAAGTTTCCTTCTTTGCCTTCTCATCTGGGACACACACACACTGCTACCACTGCAAGGTTCACAGAGCTTGTCAACTTTATTGCCTCAAGCTCCTATGCTTAGACCCTCCGGCAACAACTAAAAAAAACATCCAGTGGGAAAAGTGAGGGGGGGTGATATAGAGGGAGGGATCAGCTCCCATGGATTGAGTAGATACAGGACCTTCTCCCTCTTGGGGCCTCTGTAGTTTAGCCAGGTGTGAAATCCTAAATGTATCTGAATAGAGCTTTTTTCATTAAACAGTTTTTTAATTAACAGAACTTTTGTTAAAATTGTTTTAAAACCTAATTCATTCTGCACAAATGTCATCTTTAAAGGACTTGCAGTAATACGCAGAGGGCTTTGTGTCCAAAGAGAGCACTTGATGACTGAATGGTTTAATTTTGTTACATTTGGGTCTTTTTTCAGTCATTGAAGAATCACTATCATCTTTGTAGGTCCAGTCTGCAGAGCCAGAGATTAAAAGACCCCCTCCACTCTGTCAAAGCTCAAAGCCGACCTTTACAGCAGCTCCCTTTATGAGTAAACAACAACCAAAGCAAACACTGGGCTGTCTGTTCTGGGGAAAGTTCAAACCAATTGAGGTTTTCTGTATTCTATAAACAGGATCTTGCTTGGTCAAATTCTTAGTCATCCTCCATCATAACCCACATTATCTTTAGGGGTGCATGTTTTTGCAATGCATCTCTCTTTTTTGCTAATTGGCTACAGACTATCATAAAAAACAAAACATTTTTGTTGATGCATCCTAACACTGAGAAACAATATTCATATCATCTTGGTCCTGCGTTCTCTCTCTTCAATCGAGTTAAAGCTCAAAGACAATCACAACTGGGACTTTGATGAAGTCTACGCTCATTTAATTTCTCATGGGGAAGATTCAAAAAGAAAATCATCATGATAGACACGGTTAAAGTGTTTTCAAATTAGCCAAGGCTGCTGCTTACCGTTCTTATGTCTGCAAAAGGCACTGTTCATATAATTTATATTTCTGAGAAATAGAATAGTTTTCACAAGCATGTTTCTTTCCTTTCTGTTACCTCACATATTAAGACAGTACAACCCTCACTTACTCAATCAGCTCTCAGCCAAAAGCATCAATTATACAATATATAATAAAATAAAAATCCATTTGAAGGTATTTCATTAATTACATCTACTTTCAGGGAAAGGATTATAAAATAAAATAAATGATTAATAGAAAAAATTGATGTATTTATTTGCGTCTTTTGTACACTTTATCAATAAAAAGTTTATAATTCAGTTTTCACTAGTGCTTTGAAAATGCTTTATGACTCAGTAGGTTAATACAGAAGCCATTGAATATATTCATGTAGCACACATCAAGCAACAAGCATTTATCTTTTTCATCCCTGACATATAAATACTGAATGCATCGTAATTCTTTGTTTAAGGCAAAATTTTATATTCTCATGTTCTCAATTTTCATTCTCCGATAAAGACACAAGATTATGGGTCTTGCAGAAACATAAACTGTGTATTAAGTGATGCTTCAGATGCACATAAATAAACCTGGGGTCAGACACGCACATAGAAATCTGCTCCCTGTGGTTTGACTGCTCACTGAAAAATAGGGATCAAAATGCAGAGCACGATGCCTTGTTTGATCACACAAACTTGTTTTAGCTGCAGCTGTGCCATCTTGTGCAGACATTACTTCTGAAATAACTCACTGTTTTCCTCTCACAAATATACCCCATTGTTATTTCGAATGTGCTTCTTCAAAGACAAAGTGGCAATAAACCTTGGATTTCTCCATATTTTCCTGACAAAGGGCATGATGCAAGGGACATTGACTTAGTGCTGTTTTGAATAATAAAACAAAACTTCACATATTTCTCCTGGATCTGAGCACAACCACATGCAATCACAAGAGAAGCTTTACAGTTGCATCGTGGTGTTATATTTCACTCACAGCATCTCATCCATATGCTATTTCCAAGCATCTATATTTTAATTCACCTCTTGCAACTTGCTACCCTGGCATGTTATACCTCATTACAGACAAACAAATACATCTTTAGATGGGACATATCTACCCAGCCCTAGCATTAACAAGTTTAGTTATTCTAGGAAAAACACATTGTCATTAGTGCAATGATATCAGAGCCTGATATCATTGTATAATTTGAAATAATGAATAAAAAGGAGGCGTGCAGCGCGGACAGCCGGCCGGAGGCTTAAGGCCATATGTTGCAATGACAGCGAGTGTGTTCAGTACAAACCATGAGGCTGGTGCTCCATGTGTCCCAGCGTCTCGATCTGCTCCACCAGGTCGTTGGAGTTCCACTGGCTCATGCCCAACAAGATGGCGCTTTTCCCCTCCAAAACATCTGCTGGCACGACAAAACAAATCCAGTTACCCAAAGCTCAATTGTTCATCGAATCAAAACATTAAAGCATGATATATAACAGTTCTGTGATTAAGCTTTTCACACAGTTCTTGTGGAGACACTTCATATGATCTCCCCCTTTCCTATGCAAGCGGCAGATGAGCTTTGCTCCCGTGAAAATAGTTGTCATGCACAATTTATAAAACGGCTGGCACACAAAACCTTAAGTTGTCCAATGTACATAGATGACTATAAGATTGGTTATAGGATATTGATTCAAATTCTGTATTGATTGGGCCTTTGCATTTACTGGATGAGATTAACCCCTGATGTTATTTAGTTAATATCTAAATCTTTCATTGTTGTCCAATAGTTACCATCCATCCATCTATCAACTTTACCAGGCTTCCCTGTCCACACACACTTCCTCTAGCTCATCCAGGATCCTGAGGCGTACCCAAGCCAGCTGAGAGGATTGTATTGGTTCTTATTGAGAAAGGTATTGAATGTATTCACAGTATTGGTATAAATGGTATTGCTCAAAAAAAAAGCTGGTTCGATGAATCCCTAGATAAATTCTTGAAGAACTTGTGAATTGTACTCTTTCAAAAAACTTAACCTAGTGACTACTGCACGTCAATCATCCAAACGGCACTGGGTTTTTCCTTTCAGCTCTATTATCTGACCTATTTATAAGATTTCCAGAGGATTGGTGATTTTAGTTTTTAGTCGCTCTTTAAACTATTTCAGCATCTTAATTATGTTTATCCATAATAAAGTGTTATCATACAATTGTTTTATTTGATAGAGACAAGTGTACACAATCAACATGTGAAACACTACAACATTTATAGCCAAGGCTTATCTACAAAGGCAGGAGGAGTCCCCCAACTCATCGATGATCACACAACTGGTTTGTTTTTAAAAATTGCTTCAGTTTGTGTTAAAAACTAGCCCAGTCAGTTCAGTTTAAGATGAAGACTTAAGAGTTTCAGAGCTTTACCCCCTGGATGTAAAAATAAATGAAACAAGGTTAATTAATATATTCATGCTGCTTGTTTTAAGACGGAGATTGCCTGGATGTATGATGTAAGAAACACTGCACCACTTTATCAAATAGGCGTTCTTACCTAAAGGCTCAAGACTATAACAGTATTATGTAAGGATCTGCCCTTGCCTGGAGCTCCAGCCTCTACACTGACCGTTTATGAGCTGATAACTGCCCGATACTGCCCGAGCGCTACTCTGTGCCTGGTTGGAACCCCGCGGAGATCCTTGTTAACATATCACACACTTGTGGAGGTCTGCTTAGCCTTAATGCAGAATTTTGTGTAGATTAGAATAAACTACAACTGCTGCTTTTTTCATGGGACTCTCTTATATCAAGCCAAACATATTTCAGGGCAGTTCAAATACCCAAGTTGGTGTGTGCACACAGATTATTGTCTAAAGAGCTATTTTCCCACAGTTGATGAATGTTTTTGGACCTGTTTTCAAAGAGTGTAGGGTTTCTTTGGGGCCAAATCCATTGTAGTTTTAGAAAAATGGTAAGGAGCAACTTGTAATATCTTTGAAGACAGGTTTTTTTCACTACGGCCATTTACGGAATTAATGAGCCACATCAAGCATGGATTACTTCAATATCACAGACACAAGTCCAAAGGTAAGAAAAGCGATGACAATGCATTGTTTTTGTGCAAATATTATGCTTAATATCTTTTTAGAGTAAATGTCTGGTTGCTTGTACTTGCATATTCATGTGGATGGAAAAATAAGCTTAAAATGATATACAGCTTGTGGGGTTTGAAGACCAAAATAAATGTGCTTTGACAAGCTGCATGCAGACATATGCAGCTGCATGCCCTCCTGACTCTTTTTCATCCTGATGACTTTTTCATTCAAATGTGTGAAAGTAACTCCTCTTTCATTTCCAATTCATTCAAGTCCCCATAATATAAAAATATGATGCCATCTTGCAATTTTTGGCACCGCTTCTCAATTATTCATAATATCAATTATCATTTTCAATTATAGGATAACAGAATGTCCATCTTGTTCTGTTCATATGTTTTTCACACTGCCACAAAACAAGGGTCATGAGTGAAATACAATTTATAAAGGACTATATAAGAAAGCCGTTTTTTGTCACACAGCTGACCCTCATCAACCGCAGAGATAGACTGACTCACACCCCTCTGCGTGCAAGAATGTAATGTCTTTCCTCTCTCTGTTGCTTCCTCCGACACCAAACCAAAGCTCTCACTCTCTCTCCATCTGGATCACAGAAGGGTCGCCTCAGTGGTCAGTCTGCATCTGTCACTAGCTAACGTGTCCACTGTGGCAGCTTATAAAGCAAATGCAGCCCACAATATCTCTGTTAAAAGGGTATTGGAGCACTAAAAAAGACCTTGCAACTGATGTTATTTCTCTTTTAGATTATGGGGATATGGCTGCATGATTAATTGCATTTGGATCAAGATCACATATTTTGCACTCACATGAAAGAAAAAAGACTTAAGAAAAAAAGTACTTGAATTTGGAACATGTCTCTTGACTCAAGCATATTATGTAGATTTGTCATTGGAAAAAGCGGGCCTCTTTCGTCATGTCAGCCAAAGCATTATTTTCTCATTCCAAATGAGAATTCATACAAGCCAAAACCACGTCGGACAATTTGTGAGACAATATAATACCTCAATTCAAGCATTTAGATATATTTTAAGCATTTTGCAGTGAATCAAAAAACGATGAACACAAATTCAACTCTCTTGATGTTGTTATTTTTGACTTTTTAAACAACATTGAAAATGACATTGCAAATGCAAGTTTGGTCAGTATGAAAAATTGCCAAATCGAGCTGTCCTAATGAGAATATAATGTATAATCCAAGCCTCTTCTTCTACTCCAAGTCTGGGTTCAAAACTCATCACTAGACTTTGTCTTTGCTGTCCGTAAAAAAAAAGCAGTATCGTTATAAAATGTATTTATGGAGGACTTGGTGAAAAACTGCCTGATAATCTAACAATTGGAACATTGGTACTTTGAACATCTCATGCTTGTAGAAAATGTTAGTACTACTGAAATTGGAAAGAAGGCTTTTGGAGCTCTTGTCTCTAAAAAAGGGAATTGGTTTCAAACCTTTGCAAATTTGGACACTCTGGTACATATGAAATGTGGTATTATCATTGTATAAGTCTAACTAAGTGGTCATGAAAAAGGAGTCCAGTTTTCTTCATTAAATACTTTTAAAAAACTTCACGTTCACAAAATGCAGCTGTTACAAAACGAATGGATGATTCTGATTTCTGCAGTATCAATATTCGATCATCTAAGCAGTGGCTTTTTCTTTACTTTGAGTAAATGCAACATCTGTAAAGGGATAAAGAAGCTTAGAATTTACACACGTCAAGAAATTTACAGGGGGGGGGGGAAACACCTCAGCCAAATGCATATTGGATTTGAACAAAGAGACAGCGGAAGTGAAAACCCCATGGATAGACAGGAGAATATAAAGTAGGCTTGGCGGCAAACACAGAAAAGCCTGATTACGGAGTAATTCCCAGAAGGAAATCTTAGGCTTTACTCCATCTACACACAAAACCTATCTCCACCAAAACACCAGCGGTGAAAACCAAACTCCAAAAAGCTGTTATAATATGACAGAATAAAGCAAGGCCTCCTCCTACTTATGCTGCTATGAACAAAACGGGGAGAAGGGAGACATGCCCACAGACCCCATGGGCACATAAGAGATTTAGAGACATCCTTCAACCTGTCAGCATCACCAAGTCTTCACGAGTGCGAGAGGGGGAAATCGGGAAGGACAAGGAGAGAAAAGGAAAGCAAAGAAAAGATGGGAGAGGAGAGTAAACAGGCCAGGCAACGCCTTGAATTACCTCTACAACAGTTCACTCAAACGCACTGTCATTGTCCAATCCGCATGCATTAGTGAGAAATTACCCTAATGCGTCTATTTTTTCCAGCTTTCAATCCGAAGTAAATTACACGTATTTGCAGATAATTGTCTAAAATAGACTAATATCTGTCAGGTTTAAGCCTGATGATGATGGAGAACTGAATTGCAGAAAGTTTGGCTTTAGACCAGATAATTGGCATAATTACATTTGAGTTTTCTTCAGTGAATCCAAAATGTATGGTTCACTCAGCTACTCCCAGTGACTTCCTGCCATGGATAATGGAAGAGCAAAGAAAGCTTTTCCTCAAAGGTTCCTGGTAATATTGAAGCAAACTCTTAAAGAATAAAGTATGTGCTTGTTGGTTGTACAAATGATAAAAAAAAAATACATGTTTATGGTCTCCAATAGAGTCATAAGCAGGTTGTAGACATATTTTAGCCTATTGATTTTTCTCATTCAAAACTACTGTATACCAATTTGTTTAAACTGAGACTTGGCTTATCAAAACAGAAAAAAGACCTCCTGAATCAACTAATTTCTACTGAAACAATCAGTACCAATTTCTTTCTGATTGAAAATGGGCCTTTTGAAAAGCATGTTATTTGTGCTGAGCGTTCCCCAGAGAGGACCTCACTTCTGATAACACTGAGTATATCCTTTGCTATGTGTCACTATGACACAGCATATTTAGCCATTTTGTTAATAAAGAGTCCTTTTGCGTCTGTTGTTCAGCCATCAATCAGACTGTACCCACATGAATTCATTTGGATACAAGGCAGTGCAAAAAAGCATGATGAAAAATTGACTTGCTTTTTTCAAAGTGATTTATTATTAATATATTCAGCCCCACAGGAAAAGTCAGGATTAGCATGTTCAATTTGACAAAGGCTCGAATCAATAAAACGAGTAGGGATTGGGCTGCCAAGGTGTGGGAAATGCACAGCTAATAAAGATTGAGAGCAGTTCTGAGTGACTACGTGGGTCTTACATGTATAATTGACAAGCTGCGGGCTGGGGCTGAGTCATGCTGTTTGGTAAAAGAGGAAAAATGGGAGATGCCAGGAGATTCATTATAACTAATGCGTG